TAGGCCAGCTAGAACAGTTTTCAAACAATTAATTTAAATATATAACTATAAGCTGTAGCTATCGTAGGCAATATTTGAGATAATGTTGGAGTTACCTCGTATGGCAAATTGCCTTTTTTTAATTTCTCTGGTTCCAGAGACCTTATTGCTATGTTATACTGATGCGCAAACAGATGACAACGAGCCGCCAAGGGGACAGACAAGGTAGCTTGTTATCTCCGCTTGCCGGCTCAAATTGAGGATAGCGATGGAGGAAAACCCTTTCACCAGGGTAGTTTTGACTTTGTTAGCTGAATACGACCAATCCTTCTCTCTTTGAAATACAGACGGACTGAGGTTCAAAGCTCAATTAACACCCGGACTATCAGTGTCCAACCCTGGGCATTTCTCACCAAAATAGGGAGACAGTCTAAGAGATAAGAGGGGCTGACGTCATCCTACTTTGTTGTGCTGTATAGATGTTTCTATTCAAGGAGTCTGTCCTTAATAAAAGTTTTTTTTAATTGTGCCTTTTGTGAACTAACTTATTACCCTGAAAATGTTAGCGTTTTGAACTGAAGATGCCGGCTTTAGCGTCACTTAAAAAGTGAGTTCGCGCTCTTATTCCATCGTCTTCTGTTTACCTCCTAAATTAAACTTGAGATTAGGAAATTTTACGTCGTAGTCATGCAACGACGACACGAAGAAATTTACAGAAATACGCGTGATGCACGTGCAAAAATGTTTTACTGATCTCAACCAGAAGCATTTAACCCCGATTCGGGGTTATATGCTTCACAGGTCTAAACCCACTGCTTTTTGCCGTGTTCCTTGCCATCGCCATCGCCATCATTGATTAAAACAGGCAACAAAAATGTGCAACTTGTTTTGCAACATTGCTGCAAAACGAGTTGAAAAGCGGATGTTGCGCGTTTTACCACCCTCGTTCAAACTTATTAACAACTTGATTTGTTGCTTGACAGGTTTGAATGTGGGTGGTAAAACGCGTAATATTGCTTTTCCACTCGTTTTACAGCAATGTTGCGAAACAAGTCGCATGGTTTTGTTATACATTTTACCGTCGCTTTGGTGCTCCGTGGGTAAACAAATTACAATTTACAAAAAATTTACAATATTTCTTGTTGTTAACGCTCTATAGGGAGCAAAACAAATTGCACATTTTTGTTGAACCGCAAAAAAGCAATGGGTTTAGACAGAAACTCATAAGAACTCGTTGAAACGTGTCCGTGCGTGCCAGATCGAATTGGAAATTGAAAGTGTTGGTTTTTAAGGAGAGGGGAAAACCGGAGTACCCGGAAAAAAACCTCTGGGAGCAAGGGAGGAGAACCAACAACAAACTCAACCAACATATGCCGTCGACGCCAGGATTTGAACCCGGACCACATTCTACGGTGGGAGGCAAGTTGCTCCCTAATATTGACAGCAAACAATCACATAACACTTATAATACGCACTTCTCATACATGTATACTCACTTGACCAGCATCTAGGCAAATTTATTCGAACAAAAGAAAAGAGTTCAACTCCCAAGGACTTGTTTGGAACATCAACAATGGCCGCCGTTTCGTTGTTTTGGATGACCAATATGGCCGCCAAATTTGCATGTGCATGACGCTTTTTCTGTACACTGACTTCTCACCTCTCTCGTTAACTCCTGAACGTATTAAAAAGACGAAAGTGCTAAAGTATAGTTTAGCACTTTCGACAAAATGACGCATTACGCGTGGCAATAATGGGCCATTATTTGCATGATGGCGTCACTGTACTACTATAACCACAAGGCTTTTCGCCGTTCATATTTAAATTTGATAATCCCAGCGAGGTTTAAATAACAAAAGCCCTAATTTGCAAAAGAAAGCGAAACCCCGAAAGATTCTGGTCATAGTCGTGAAATGATGTCATAGTGCAAATGACCTGTTGCTCCACTCCTTTCCGTCCAAATCTTGGAGCGGAAACCATGGAAACTGAAACCCGCCTGGACAGCAGCGAAAAGACACAACCCCCAAAGTGGAGACTTCCTGAGTGTCGTTTAATGTATTTATAGTGCTATTAAATTATAAGGGGGAAGAACTAAACGAAGCAAGACAAAATGATTCCCCTCGGCTTCTTTTTTTTTATTTTCGCTCGCTTCGCTCGATTTCCTCGCTCGCGTGACCATCCTGAGGGACTGCTCGTAGTCTAAAATGATAGGGATTGTCGGCTTCTCGTTTAAAATCATGCAAAGTAACTGATAAAATTACGGTTTCGAAGAATCGCCACCTACGGTCTACCTTCTTCCACTCAATCTTCTGTAGAAACTTTGCAGGAAAGCCTTGTAATACTGGTACAGGGGCACCCAACGAGTAATTTCGGTAAATATCTGTTCGGAAGGAAGGTCCGCTAGAATTTTCGAATACTCGGCGACTTTCGATTTTCGATTTTCGATTTCTGAGCCATTTTCTGGAACAGATTTCCTAGATATTTCGCATTTTCTAACAGATTTCCTAGATATTTTTAAGTTTCGAAACCGCACTGAAGTGGGCTAGAATTTTCGCAAAAAGCCTGAAACCTTAAACTGATGGGAGAGATAGAGTGAGACAGTCATAGCTATGCCTCCCCGTTTGGGGGATGTGTCGGGGCCGAACTGGGGTAGCCTGCGTAGAGTGGCGGTTTTGGTTAGGCGCGCTAAGTAACAAAGGCGGGCGAGGGCAGAGAAACCGCGTCAGCTCAACAAAACCGCCATGCTACGCAGGCTAGAACTGGCCATGGGTCCGTGAACATGTACTAAAGTGTTAATAAACTATTGGTAAAAATCCAGCTACCGGTCTGGGCCTGTTGACTTTCTAATTCTTTCTGTTTCATCCATAATTTCTCTTTCCGGCAAGGGCGGTTGAAAGGACTACATCACGTGCTCCTCAGAGGCGTATTGCACAATGTGATCATAGTAAATTGAGTGGAATGATTATGAAACCCGTCAGACTCCTTTGTTATATGTTTTTGTGGACCTGAAAGTGCACAACGTTCAAAAGAATTCCTATCATTTTGATTGTATTGACCAATAAAAACGTTGCATTAATTTATTGCGTAACAATTTGCCAACAGAAAACAAAGGATTGTGCACTTTCAGGGTGCTTCCAACATAAACTGCAGCACTGTCGTTTTTATCATTGATGTTTGCCGCTTTTCTCCTCTAATAACTATGGTGTGATCTCTGAGTTTTAGGGTTGAAGTTTTTTACTGAAAAAAAAAGATCAACAAACTACGGGCGAACATAAAAAACAAAAGCAGCAATTCCTTTACTATAGTAACATCCGTAAAAGTTACAATTCGGAAAGTACGACAGTAATTTAGATGGCGTTGCATTTGCAAAATAACTACGCCATGAAGTGCATACTATCGCTCGCCAGCTGGAACACACATGTGCAAAGAAAAATATATATGGGTTGAAATAAACAAACAAGCAAACATAGGCTAAAACAAACGTAACTTTTTTTTGCTCTCTGAGTCCTCCAAAAGCTAAAAATGTCAAAAATTGGCCGAGAGAATTCACGTATAAGCCAAGCGTGAAAGTTTAACCAGGTTAGGGCATATTCGTACTCAACACACAGAAGCATGCGAAGTAATGTTACAAACATTAACTCTGTTTTTCTCAGTCTTCTTTTCCTTTTGCAAGAGTAATGTCTGAGCTTAAGGTGTGCTACCTGCTAACGGCCTTGAGTTTACCCCGGAAATAAGAATGCACTAGAGAATAGCGGTCCTCTTTGAAAAAGGACGAAACTGTAAACGACTTATACCCGGCTTTGTTAACTCGTTTCTAAGCCATCAATTCCGATTACCTTTAGCACAAACGTTTTAACTCTAAAAGCCTTTTCGACATTAACTCCCGTCGGATATTTTTATCTTTTGAGCTAATCATCAAACTCAAAATTTTTAGTAAAGGAATCTTTTACTAACCGACGGTGACCAACTAAAAGAGGTTCTGAAACTCCGACCAGCCTTTTTTCGTTTCACAGAAATAAACCTTCACTTGTCCTAAAAGAACTTGAAGTATTAGCTATTTGGTGTTTATGTTGGAAATCATCTTTGAGCAATCTGTTGTGGAAATTACAGTCAGTTGTAGAGTCACAACAAAGTGTCCCAAATATTATTTTGTTGCTTTGGATGCTCTTGTGACTATTATTTATCTTATACTGTTAAAAAATTCGGTTTTCAAAAGCCTCTTCTAATTTTTTATTAACTCATTAATTGTTGTTGGTATATTTTATTTTCAGTTTCTCTAAACTGACAAATGACACTTTTTACAATGTCATTCAAAATCACAAGTATTTCATTCAAAAATAGTTCACTCAATTGAATCAAAATTAGTACCTCAAAATATAGTTTGATGTTAGTGCTTTGTGAATAGGAAATCATCAACCATATCGGCCGGTACGTGCCTGTTTTGTAGCCAGTAGTTAACACTGAACAAAGCCAAAAGTTTTCCAGGGTGGTAAAACGAGGTCGGAGTTTAAGAAATCAGAGAAAGAGGGAACGACTGCTTACCCGTAATAGAAGACACTAAAAGGTGTGGTTCTTCATTTGAAGTGTCTACAGATAAATTCAAAGTGTTCGAAAAGTGTAGCCATTCTGCGATTTTTAAAGAAAAGTGTCACTGTCATATCATGATTTCAGACGATTTGTTTATATATTGGCTTCTTCGGAAGTAATGAAAGTTTATTTTGTTGAGAAAAAGGGAAAAATACCAATATAAGTGACCTCTTGTGAACCGTGACTATGATAAAGCTCTTTGACACACATTCGTGATGATTGTCAAGTATTTATAATCCCCTGCTGAGCGCGAACAGCCAACAACATCGTCAATTGCCTTAAGGGGCTGTGAACTCGCACTTAATATTATCAAAATTTCATAACGCTTCCGTCAGACAGTTGCTTAAGATCGTGAACCGAGTTCAAAATTGTATGCATGAGTTACAGTTAGTAGGTACTGATACGCTGTGAAATTTGACGAGTGATCTTGCGTGATGTCTACAAAACAGGCAGTTTCAAGGACCAGAAGTCTGAAGGGAAAAGAAGCGCTTTTAGAGTGGTGCAAACAGCAAACTGAGGGGTACAAAGATGTCGACGTTCGCGATTTGAATGCATCATGGAGAGATGGTTTGGCGTTCTGTGCCCTTCTTCACCGATTCAACCCAGAACTTCTGTAAGTATTTGGAGTTCAAGCAGGTTCTCTTTTAGTGTGCGTTAAGCAAAATGCAACTTAATATCTATAATAAGCGAGGTCCCCTTTCCCCGAAATTATTTCACCTGAGTATGGCAAAATTGACTTGGGTGAGACCACAGAGTTTTCCGAACATCTCAGCAAATTGCCTAACTCAAAATAAGTCCAGTTTAATAACTTTACGATCAGTAGCGTCATAACTGACATACTGCTAGCTGATAACGCCGTTTGTTTATCCGCTGGGTAAAATAACGTCAAACGCCAAACTTCTGCATCATATGGGTAGATCAAAATTATACAAGATCCGTGTTTATATAAAAGTTGTCGTGTTTAAAACCTCTCTCGCATTTTCTAATATTGTTTATCTAAGAAATAATATGTTTTCCAAGGCCACAATCTGCTATTGATAAATTCTTGTTACGAGTGAAAGTTAATCATCTCATATGATAAACTTTCACACATAACAAGATTTTATAGTGTTCAGAACAACTGAACAATAAGAATTAGAGGAAGGAAAATATTTACAACAAACACTAAATGATCTGTTGCACGAAATAGCGTTCAAATCTTAATCACATTCACGACCAGAAATATATAACTAAGAAATAGATAAGTTACAATTCATTTCAGTAAAAAAAAAAAGAAGCTTGGAATGACGACCCTCACGATCCCCCAGTACATCTCGAACAGCAATTAAACCTAATCAACCTTAAAATCAGATGGCGAAACGATGACAAAAGAACACAGTTCACGGTTTACTAAATATTGAATAAATACACAAAACAGATAGGGAAATATGAGTTCTGTCCGTTTCCTTATCGTTTTGGAGGGGGGCGAGATGGACGGCCAAATTCATGAAGTTTCTTAAAGGTCATCTGTAAAAAACTGACCTTTATCGGGATTGACTACTACAATAGGTTTACTATTACAGCTTTGGATGCGTTAAATGTTTTTCCTGAGTACAATAAGTTTGAATAAGTATCGATTTCTACCTTAAGTGGTTTTTAAAGGCCGCTCTTGCGTAACTTCGATAGGTCAGTTTGCACTTAAGATGACTTTTTGACAGACTTTTTTTCGTGGCATTCGGTCCTTCGATTTTACCGTCGCCTTCTTCCAATAGTTATGGCTAGTCAACCCTTTCAATCCAAATATCAATTCACAAAATCCTAATTTCGTTTTCTAAAATCCTAGAATTAAATAGCAAAAGAGGTTTGAATTGAATGGTAACATTATATGATTTCATCCACAGTTTTTCAAATCTCTGAGCGTGTATACATTGTTTGCGGAGAATGATATTTCATCGAAGGATGTTAAAAGCTCGAAGCTATCATCGATAGTAGCTATGCAAGTACTCTAAAGACAGAACAGATACTAGGTGAAACTGACTGCAGTTCAATTCACAGGCTCCTGCAACTCATGCATTGTCCTTCTTGCATACTTACTTAATAAGCTTCTCAATACTAATAGACTTTACAGGGGGGCATATATTTCATCTGGGAGCATTTTGCTGAGATCCTTTTTCTCAGTCGATCTCAAGATGTTTGTTCTTCCACATATCCGGTATAGTGCCCGAACAAACCATCAATCCATTAACTGTGTTCGTGCACAGACTAGGGAATACATCGTCCCCTAGCTACTCGGTCCCTGAGATAACCTTTTGTTTCGAACGGGACAGCAAGAAGGTAGTTTCCAAGAATTAGGTGACCCAGGAGCCGGTAGCGAGGTTATGGGCCCTGGTAACCTCAAAGCATGAAGTTAAGCCATCCTTTGATCTGCATTTAGTTATGGGGAAGTCAAGTGATTAGCCTGTTTACTGCTTGTCTTAAAAGTTTGGTTTCAAAACGCTGGTGAGGAAGTGAACCCGTCAACTGAGTTGACTTAGTGAAATTACTATTGTAAAACGGCTGAAAACCTAATGTTTTGGAACGCAATCCCACGTTGTCTTATTGTTTAATTGATAATAAAAACGTTTTTAAATAGCCATAACTGAAAAAAAAACAACTAAAACGAAGTCCATGTCGAAGGTTAATTTTCGAACTTTGTCAAATGTTAATCAAGAATTATCATTTCAGGGATTTTGAGAGCCTCTCAAAAGACGATGCAATGAAAAATAACGAGTTGGTAAGTCGAGATCAGTTTGATATATAGATTTAGCCAGGGCTAAAAGCGAAGCTCTGGTTAATGATACGTGTAAACAAAAAAAATTGAATCGTGTAATGCTAAACGCGGACGACAATGAATATGGCTTCAAGACTAATAGATGTAATTAGCCAAAAAAAAAAACAAATTGCACGTGCAGCACACTTTTTCCTCTAATTAGCAAAAAAAAAAATTTGCACGGGCAGCACGCTTTTTTGTCTTTCCCTTGTTGTTGTTTTGCACGACTCCAACGCTGTTTTGTACGGCTAAAACGTCAAACTTCCTAGTTACACATTTTTTTCATAGAGGAATTGTCGTATGTGCTTACCCAATATTTTGTCTCCTGTGTTCATGTTCGCTTTTATTTTTCATTGCCGCTCATTTTCACCTTGCTGGTCGCTAGCATTTCTCATTTTCTCACCGCCGCTTTGAATTTCCATGTTTTTCTTCCTAAGAAATTCGTCTCCTTTGTTTTCAATGACTCGCTCTAGCTCTTTCTCTGTTGTCCACGTTAATGTAAACATAAAAAATAACGCCGGAAAAGACAAGACTATGTTGTTGTTTTTTGTTCTAAATAAAACCTTGAGTCGCATTTGGGTTGCCATACCTGTGGATTGAGTTATTTTACATTAGTATGCCTGTGGTGCGGACGGACGGTCGCTCGCTCGGTGTACGGTCACGTGATTACCAAATTTTCTTGGATGGGTAGTTTACCACATTTTCTTACCCATGGTGCTCCGCTGCGCGCTTCGCGCGCGAGAGCTCCTCTATTATTCACTGCTATTACCAAAACTAGACTGCCCTACAAACTCAACATAGCGATGACACACGTATGAACATCAGTAGACGTCTTGTATAATACAATAAGCAATAAAAAAGTAAACTCGCAACTCTTTTTATTGGTAAACTGTCGAAAAAATAACTGAGTTGAAACAATGGCTCAAAGTTTGTCTTTTCAGAAAGTCAAATTCTTTCATGTTTTATTTGCTGTGTTAAACCGAGTTTCATTGACCAAAATTAAACGTTCGTCTGTTTGTTTGCTTTCAGGCTTTCAAAATTGCCCAAGAGGTATTAAAGGTACCAGCACTATTGGACGCCGAGGACCTGGTATCGATGGAAGTTGTTGATGAATTGAGTGTGATGACCTATGTGTCAATGTTATACAAGCGAATGACCAAGCAATCGCGTTCTTGTAAGTGTTGGGTTTATACGTCGCACCAAATATTTATATGGTTTCTTCATTAGAGGCCGCCGGTATCTTCAAAAGACCAGGTATTCGCAGACATTCGAAAAAGGGGCAAGCAAATCGGGTTCTTCTGCTGATCTTCTCCTTTTTCTTCCTACGGTTTTCGCATCAGTAGGAGCTACAAGTACTTAAGAGAATATAACTGAAAAAAAAAACACTCCATATTCGAGAAAAAGAAGGGAGTAAAAGATGGAGTGTTGTTCTGTTATTGTTGTTAGAATTGAAATAACGCTTATCGTCTCTTCCACGTATCGCCTAAGCGCCGTCAGTCGAGCAGATTCTCGACCTACTCTTAGTCTACTGAGGTACAAAATCATGACTGATAAAAACAAATTCTTTTCCTATTTTAGCCCCCACAAGTCCAACTGCCACATCTCCGACAGGTACAGTATAAATCTAAAAAAATCTGTATTTTTTTGTGAGTGTCCATGGATTAATAATCCAAACTAGGCCAGTTATAGCAGCTGTAAATCTTTCTGATCAGGGACGAAGCTAGGGGAAGGTCCTGGGGTGCCTGTAACGCCCCTTTTTGTGAGATAATTGTTTTATGTCCCTATGATTGTAACGAAAACGCGCGAATCTGAAGAATCAACATGTAATAAATATTTTCAAGTGCTGGGTAGTTCCATACTCTATTTGTAGGACCGCATATCTGTAGTCGACCAGTGAGACTAAAATAAAGTATTATATGTAACGTGGAACTTAATTCATCTATGTAGCTATTTTTTAGGCTTTCTCTCCCCCCACGCTCCCTGCTCATTCGAAAAAATGTCACTTTTAGTAAAACGCGGCGTGGATGTCGACATCCCAATCTGGTAAGTACCCTAGGTGTGACTCCCTCCCTCCCCCCCCCCCCCCCCCCCCCCCCCCCCCACACCCCCCCCCCCCCCCCCCCCCCCCCCCCCCCAACACCCGCAAACATACACATCTTTACTCCCAACATCTGCAACTCAATATTTCTGTAACCAAAAACACTATCGAGAAGACGTAACCCCCCCATATTGTTTTTCATCTCCTCCCCCCCCCCCCCCTGCTGATTAGAAAAATGTTACCTTTTCTAAAAACCGGACTGTGATCTCTAAACCCCAATCGTTGACTGCCCTAGGGGGTGCTCCCCCCCCCCCCCCCCCCCCCCCCCCCACCTCCCTTTGAAAAACCCCAGCTACACCTCCCGCTGATCCAAACTAAGCCAGGTAAACTTAACCATCTTTAACCCGAAGAGTTCAGATCTAATTCTTCTGAATCGAAAACCCATTGTGGAGGGCTCGAAACCCTACAGTTTGATGTACATATTTATATGTCCCTCATGCAGGAATAATAACTTTGTCTCTTGATTGCATTAGTTAGCTGGGTGGTTTAGTAATCACTAAAGGCCGGAGACGCTTTTACTTTTTGAAATTTTAACATTTGGGTTTGTGCTTTATATTCAGGTCAAACGCGAAGAACCCTTTTCGATGTCCTCAAAGATGAGAATAACTTCTCTGAAATTTACGAAAAACGGAGGAATCGTCTTAGTTCTGGCGAAATGAGCCCCACGAGCAAGACTAGCAGAACAAGGAGCACATCACAAGAACTTGAACAGGAAAATCAGGCTGAAAATGAATTCAAATAGGATGCGATATATTCTATAACACCAAGAAGATTTAATCAAAACCAGCGTGTTTTTTTGGCCAGTGTGGTTGAGCGTGGGACTGGGACGCGTTAACATGTCTAGCATTAGGGGGCTTAAGCAACGACCACGGCGAGTACGGAAAGGAGAGCGGCAAAAAAGCAAACTATGCACGTGCATCAGGCTTTTTTGTACATTTCTTTGCCGTCACTGCACAAAAATGCCAAATTTCACGTTTTGTGAAGGACAAAACAAGCGACGAGGAAATTTTTCTTCCTCTCTTTAAACTTTGATACGGTTCTTATAGGAATTCAACTCCAGGAGAGCCTACAGTTGATACAGTAAGTTAGTTGGAATAATCGCGACGAAGATTGAAGGAACGTGAGTCACATTTCTAATTTCAGCTGACATTTAAACGACGTATGTTTCACTGCTTTAAGCTCATGCCGTTTTGTTCAGTTCGTCAAATGTTGGTAAATTCTCCTAGCTGTAGTTGAATTATAAAAGACTGTATCGAAGTTTAAGAAAAGAAAACGAAAGTCGCGGTGTTGTGTTCGCGTCCTCCACAAAACTTGAAATTAGACACTTTCACGTTGTAGTCTTGCGGTGGTGGCAAAGAAATGTACACAAAATGTGGTGCGAGTGCATAGTTGTTGTTTTGCTATTCTAATCCTGTTGCTTATATGTCGTTCTCGGTACTGTCGCCGTTGTCGTTGCTTAAGCTTAACCACGTCCCTATGCAGAGGTGACTGGGGTAAACACTTTCCCGTAGTGCAATTCGACAAAAAACGGGCCTTGTCTCAAGCGCAACCTCTGAATAGCCAATACCCAGAAGCCTCTGTGGTAAAAGAGCCAAAACCATATCTGTGGACGTTACATCAATATATAGTGTATGATACAATACTTTAGCTTGCGTTTATACATAGTTGAAACGACTTTATTTGACACCAAGACACACTGAAAGCAAGAGGCATATACACCAACCCACGGCCTGGCTAGTACCACACGCATGCGCACAGCCATATCACCCAAGCAGTAGCAGCTATGAACAGCTTTTTCGCCCTTAGCTTGTTGGGGCTCATCAGCATGACAGCCGTCGGACAAAGCCGTGTATCAAAGGCCCTTTATCGCCAAGGCGAGCCGGCAAGACACTCCTTTAAGCGCAGTTTGTCTTATTTGACACTGTATTTTAGCATCTTATCTTTATTCCATGTATATTTTAATACAGTTTTAAAAAACTGTACACAACAGAAATTCAAACGTTAACTATATTACTTTTCTTTAAGTGTCCTTATTTTTTTAAAAAAAATACAACGTTAACGCTAGGCCATACCATAGAATAGAAACAGCCCTCGTTACGTTTGGATTATATAGGCTAAAGAGGCCGAAGTGATTTCATTAAATGTTTGAATTATACCTTAACGCATACATTTTTTAACATGTTGCTTAGTCTCTGGCTGCAGTCACGCCGTTCCTTCCTGAAAACGGCACACAGAGTGGCTTAAACACGGAGAGTGTACAGTCCAAAGATTTTCACACATTTTATACATGCTCTTCAGACGTATCTGGGTATTTAAGTGTTCTCCGTGTTAGCCTTCCGTCCACTCGTAAACGGCGTTTTCGAGCACCAAAAACGTTCCCCAGAGGAGAGATTTTGAAAACGAGTCCGGCTTCTACGGTTCAGTGGGGGCATGTTTCATTTTTTGGGTGTTTGTTTGTTTGTCTTGTGTGTATTTTTTCCCCTGTTTCGGCTTTATGCATTTTTTCAGGTGAATATTTCGTATATGTGAAATTTTTGTTCCTTCCTCCCCCCTCCCCCACCCCCTGCCTGCATAACACATAACAGGGGCTTCATGAACCAAGCTTGGCGAACGCGACAGTTTGCGATTCGCGCAAAATGCCGCATTCGCCTAGCTTGCCTCATTAAGTGCCTGTTTTGCACGCTAAAGGACTCCGGGCATCTTATTAGTACTTAATTTGGCGAATTTGGCGAGACGGTATTTCGCGGTTTTATCTTGCGAGATGTTAACGAGTAAACATGAAAAAAAGGTATTAAATTTCGCAATTTAATCGTTCTCAACTTCATTTTCTTTTTTTAAAAAGTCAAAACCTTTAAGAAAATTAGACAAACTGGAACAAGCAATGTTAAAATCTTTGCAAACTAACGTCATTTCATTTCACAACGAAAGATACAAAATGGAGCTTACAAGTAAGACCAGGAAGCAATGTGTTTGTCGATACATGTATCGTTGCTACTAGATGTCAATTGTTTTTTGTAACAGGCTAGGTTACATAGCTGAATATCAAGATGGCGGCTCAGGTACGTCTTTAGGTTTCCTTTCAGTTTGTGAAAAGATATATAAATCAGGCTTTCAGCCATAAAGCCCGGGCTTAACAAAAATTTGGGTTAAAATGAAGCTCAATGTACTCGCATGTTGACAGAGCATGAAATAGCATCTAATACAGACACAATTGTCTGCTTCCATCTGCTCATGGAAATGTAGCCTGCGCGCAGACCCTTTAAACCTTGTTTATAGACTATATCGACACTATATGCGATACGTGGGCCGGCTGCACCGCAGGCTAATGGAAATGTTGTTGTCTGCAAACTAGGAAGTCTGTTGCTTTAACAACGCGCCGTCTTAGCTAGCTAGCTAACTAGCTTGTATTGTTTGGCAGAAGGGTGTGATAAGTGCTAAATCGGAGAATGGTAAAAAATATAATAGGAGTTGTGAGCCATAATTCAGTTCCGATTCCACATGAACGGTTATTTCGATTCTGGAGTTTCGTTTTACGACTCTCCGATTCTTCCGATTTTCCGATTCTTGCTCAGTTGTTTCGATTTTACAATTTATTCTTTTCAGTTTCCTTCGTTTTGCGATTACGATACTCCTCGTTCTTTAAGTCATAAAGCGATCTTAAGAAAAAAGCACGCTGCAAATGTAATATTCCTCAACTTCCTCGTCCTTCAGAAATTTGAGAATCGTACAATCGGAGACTTGTTACTACAGCCATTTGGGTAAAATCGGACAATAGCACACTACAGTTGTAAAATAGTAAACTCGGGAAAATTGGAAGAATCATATCATGGGAGAATTGTCTTAAAAATAAGTTTTCTTGATTGCAGAATAGCAACATTGGAGGAAATCTGTAATGTTAAATCAGAGAATAGTACCCCTAAATCGGTTATACTCTTTTCCAATTTAGCACTTAAGTACGTTAGTTCATGTAGTACTTCTCGGCTTCTAATACACTCTAATTTTTGTCTTGCTCTAGGCAACCTCTCTTGAAGTTATAAAATCTGCTGCAAGAAAATTTATAGATTTTGTCAACAATGGTCCTTCTCCATACCATGGTAAAAAAAAAACTGCCTCTATTTGTTAACAAATATGTACCATGTTGGGTGTCTAGAAAACAAGGACCTTGAAAATGTCAACCTAGAAAACAACGGCCTAGAAAATAATGACCTAGAAAACAATGACTTAGAATTGTGGTTGGGGGAGAAGGGAAGTGAGAGCTCAGGAGAATAGGGGTGGGAGAGGAAAGGGTGGTAGGTGGGACAAATAAAAAGGGTGGGAAACGGGAGAAACAAAAGTATTATTAGAAATGCTTAATATTGTGGCAGTCAAAAAAAACAGCTAAAGTTGTTAGGCTAAGTGTTAAAGGGGCAGAAGACTGGAATTGAAGGTAAGGAAGGTGTGCGAAACTGAAGCAGCGAGGAATACAGTTGACTCCAGATAACTCAAATACTCAATAACTTGAACTTCCCGCTAACTCAAAGCAATTTTTGTTTCTTCTCAGATCATTTCTATATAAATTTACCCTTGATAACTTATAAAGCGCTTATAAAGTCGAGAAAAAAACCGTGTACTGGCATCCGGAACATTGAATTTTGAATTTATACCATTGGCGTGTTGTAGGCATATAGCTTACTAGTGGAGGCTAATGTTGTTATTTTGTCACAAATCTAACATGAAACAGTTTTGCTTCTCAAAATAGTTAAACACCTTCTCTATTTAGGCTATGTTTTGTAACTTTACTTTCTGGAAAGTTCTAAGGGACTAGATTATAAAACATTTAAAGAAAGGAAACAAGACGTTTTCTTGTATTTTTAGTTTTAAGGAATTCTTTCAATGAATGTAGCTGATAACAAGAAAATGTAGAGAATTTCCACGATGATAGATACCTATAGTGTAGTACTTAACATTTTTATTAAAAATAATTGGTAATGCCGTATAGATCTTTTTAGGGTCACTGAATGAGTTGAGGTCAATGCCATTTTATTTCAGTTGTAAAGGAATGTCGAAAAGTTCTAACATTGGCAGGATTTAAAGAGCTTAAAGAAAGAGACCATTGGGATATTAAACCAAATGATAAGGTGGGTATGAAATTGAAAGATGATCAACCTAATTGTAATTTTGATCATTCCTTTGCTTACTAAATGCTCAGATCTCCAGCCTTGGGATGGACTTAAGAAAATGACATCTTACTGGTAAAGTCCTTCTGGTAAATACTCTCTTCAATTTTGCTTGTATGTGCAGCTGTAACTGCACAGTATTTCTAGGACTTAACAGTGAAAAATGCTTATAAATGATTAATTATTCACTAACTGACTACTTAATGCAGGTAAAAAAATAATAGCAAAGAAAAAAAATACAGGATACCTAAATAGTGGCTGCAGCCACTTAATAGAGGTAGCAATTTAATACAGGGCAATTGTGTACAGGTTCCACTGTATACCTGTACTTCTTTTAGCTTACATATATACCCAACCAATGCAAACTGATGAAAGTCCTTTGATATTTTTTAACTTCCGTCAGCATGTGGATTACTACAGTGTAAACACCATTATACTTTATCAAGTATTATAGTTATTATCATTGACTTCCTTTCTACAGCAGGACTAGCTCACTTGGTAGAGCATGACTCAACAACACATAGTTCGCACGGGCCTTGAAAAGTCCTTGAAAAACTATCATGTCCTTGAAAAGTCCTTGAAAATT